ACACAGTACTCCAGATGAGGCCTTACCAATGTCGAATAGAGGGGAACGATCACGTCCCTCAATCTGCTGGCAGTGCCCCTACTTATACAGCCCAAAATGCCATTAGCCTTCTTGGCAACAAGGGCACACGGTTGACTCATATCCAGCTTCTCGTCCACTGTAACCCCTAGGTCCTTTTCTGCAGAACTGCTTTCTAGCCATTCGGTCCCTAGTCTGTAGCAGTACATGAGATTCTTCCGTCCTAAGTGCAGGACTCTGCACTTGTCCTTGTTGAACCTCCTCAGGTTTCTTTTGGCCCAATCCTCTACTGTGTCTAGGTCCCTCTGTATCCTATCCCTACCCTCCAGCATATCTACCACTGCTCCCAGTTTAGTGTCATCTGCAAACTTGCTGAGAGTGCAGTCCATGCCATCCTCCAGATCATTAATGAAGATATTGAACAAAACCGACCCCTGGGGCACTCCACTTGAAACCAGCTGCCAACTAGACATGGAGCCATTGATCACTACCCGTTGAGCCTGACGATCTAGCCAGCTTTCTATCCACCTTATAGTCCATTCATCCAGCCCATACTTCTTTAACTTGCTGGCAAGAATACTGTGGGAGACCGTATCAAAAGCTTTGCTAAAAATCGAGGAATAACACATCCACTGCTTTCCCCTCATCCACAGAGTCAGTTATCTCATCATAGAAGGCAATTAGGTTAGTCAGGCATGACTTGCCCTTGGTGAATCCATACTGACTGTTCCTGATCACTTTCCTCTCCTCTAGGTGCTTCAAAATTGCTTCCTTGAGGATCTGCTCCATGATTTTTCCAGGGACTGAGGTGAGGCTGACTGGCCTGTAGTTCCCCGGATCCTCCTCCTTCCCTTTTTTAAAGATGGGCACTACATTAGCCTTTTTCCAGTCATCCAGGACCTCCCCCGATTGCCATGAGTTTTCAAAGATAATGGCCAATGGCTCTGCAATCACATCCGCCAACTTCTTTAGCACCCTCGGACGCAGCGCATCCGGCCCCATGGACTTGTGCTCGTCCAGTTTTTCTAAATAGTCCCGAACCACTTCTTTCTCCACAGAAGGCTGGTCACCTTCTCCCCATACTGTGATGCCCAGTGCAGCAGTCTGGGAGCTGACCTTGTTTGTGAAAACAGAGGCAAAAAAATCATTGAGTACACTAGCTTTTTCCACATCCTCAGTCACTAGGTTGCCTCCCTCATTCAGTAAGGGGCCCACGCTTTCCTTGACTTCCTTCTTGTTGCTAACACACCTGAAGAAACCCTTCTTGTTACTCTTAACATCTCTTGCTAGCTGCAACTCCAAGTGTGATTTGGCCTTCCTGATTTCACTCCTGCATGCCTAAGCAATATTTTTATACTCCTCCCTGGTCATCTGTCCAATCTTCCACTTCTTGTAAGCTTCTTTTTTGCGTTTAAGGTCAGCAAGGATTTCACTGTTAAGCCAATCTGGTTGCCTGCCATATTTACTATTCTTTCTACATATCGGGATGATTTTTTCCTGCAACCGCAATAAGGATTCTTTAAAATACAGCCAGCTCTCCTGGATTCCTTTCCCACTCATGTTATTCTCTCAGGGGAACCTGCCCATCAGTTCCCTGAGGGAGTCAAAGTCTGCTTTTCTGAAGTCCAGGGTCCGTATTCTGCTGCTCCTTCCTTCCTTGTGTCAGGATCCTGAACTTGACCATCTCATAGTCACTGCCTCCCAGGTTTCCATCCACTTTTGCTTCCCCTACTAATTCTTCCCGGTTTGTGAGCAGCAGGTCTAGAAGAGCTCTGCCCCTAGTTGGTTCCTCCAGCACTTGCACCAAGAAATTGTCCCCTACACTTTCCAAAAACTTCCTGGATTGTCTGTGCACCGCTGTATTGCTCTCCCAGCAGGTATCAGGGTGATTAAAGTCTCCCATGAGAATCAGGGCCTGCGATCTAGTAACTTCTGCTAGTTGCCGGAAGAAAGCCTCGTCCACCTCATCCCCCTGGTCTGGTGGTCTATAGCAGACTCCCACCACAACATCACCCTTGTTTCTCACACTTCTAAACTTAATCCAGAGAAACTCAGGTTTTTCTGCAGTTTCATACCAGAGCTCTGAGCAGTCATACTCCTCTCTTACATACAATGCAACTCCTCCACCTTTTCTGCCCTGCCTGTCCTTCCTGAACAGTTTATATCCATCCATGACAGTACTCCAGTCATGTGAATTATCCCACCTGGTCACTGTTATTCCAATCACATAATAATTCCTTGACTGTGCCAGGACTTCCAGTTCTCCCTGCTTGTTTCCCAGGCTTCTTGCATTTGTGTATAGGCACTTAAGATAACTCACTGATTGTCCCACTTTCTCAGTCTGAGACAGGAGTCCTCCCCTCATGCACTCTCCTGCTCGTGCTTCCTCCCGGTATCCCATTTCCACACTTACCTCAGGGCTTTGGTCTCCTTCCCCCGGTGAACCTAGTTTAAAGCCCTCCTCACTAGGTTAGCCAGCCTGCTTGCGAAGATGTTCTTCCCTCTCTTCGTTAGGTGGAGCCCGTCTCTGCCTAGCACTCCTCCTTGGAACACCATCCCATGGTCGAAGAATCCAAAGCCTTCTCTCCAACTTTGGAATTCCTCCCCAGGAATGGTAGGGAAAGCATTCATGTAACTTTGCTGAGTGGGCCTGTCCATGCTAATGGCTACGTGAGCCGAGCTTGGAGGGGTGGGCTCACTTAATCAGGGGAAGTTTGAGTCGCAAGACTGAGGTCCCCAGCTCCAGACTGGGTCACCCTGACATTGGACACTGGACTGTGACTAAGGCTACGTTTTAGTCACGGCTGTTTTAGTAAAAGTCACGGACAGGTCATGTGCAGTAAAAATTCATGGCTTGTGACCTGTCCATAACTTGTACTATACACCCCTGACTAACTTTTGGGTGCTTGGGGGGGGGGGAGGGAATGGCTGTGGCGCCCATGGGCTGCCACCCCTCCTCCCCAGAGCAGGAGCTGGCAGGCTCCCTACCTGACTCCATGGAGCCCTCTCCCACACCCAAACTCCTGCTGCTGCTCGGGCGGGGAGGGCCATGGTTGCCTGATACTGCCCTGGCAAGGGCCAGTGCAGCTGGCTCGGGGGCCACCCAAGCTGCTCAGGCAGCCCCCAGGCGCAGCCGCACCTGCTGCTGCAGAAGTCACAGAGGTTCTGGAATGTCACAGACTGAGCAAACTATTTTCTATTTGTTTAATATTTTATTTGCTTGAAATTATTAATCTCAAAAAATGAAGGTATTTTCTTATTAGGTAAATATTAGGACTTTCAATTAATTGCAGTTAACTCACATGATTAACAAAATTATTGTGATTAAAATTAATTGTGATTAATCAGTTTTAATTGCACTGCTAAACAGAATACCAATTGAAATTTATTAAATATTGTGGATGTTTTTCTACATTTTCAAATATATTGCTTTCCATTACAACACACTACAAAGTGTACAGTGCTCATTTTATGTTATTACAAATATTTGCACTGTAAAAATGATAAAAGAAACAGTATTATTCAGTTCACCACATACAAGTACTGCAGTGCAATCTCTTGAGTGTGAAAATGCAACTTACAAATGTAGATTGTTTGTTTGTTATGTAACTGCACTCAAAAACAAAACAATGCAAAACTTTGGGGCCTACAAGTCCACTCAGCCCTACTTCTTGTTCAGCCAAACGCTCAGACAAAGATAGCTTCAGCACTCAACCTAATGTTTAAGAATCTGAAGTGCCTTCCAAAATCTGAGGGATGAGGTGTGGAGCATGCTTTCAGATGTCTTAAAAGAGCAACACTCTGAAGTGGAAACTACAGAACATGAACCACCAAAAAAAAAATCAACCTTCTGCTGGTGACATCTGACTCAGATGATGAAAATGAACATGCTTCTATCTGCACTGCTTTGGATTGTTGATGAGCAGAACCTGTCATCAGCATGGATTCATGTCCTCTGGAATGGTGGATGAAGCATGAAGGGACATACAAATCTTTAGCGCATCTGGCATGTAAATATCTTGTGACACCGGCTGCAACAGTGCCATGTGAATGCCTTGTCTCACTTTCTGGTGACATTGTGAACAAGAAGCAGGCAGCATTATCTCCTGCAAACGTAAGCAAACTTGATTTGTCTGAACAAGAAAGGACTGAGTGGACTTGTAGGCTCTAAAGTTTTATATTGTTTTAATTTTGAATGCAGCTATTTTTTTATGTAATTCTACATTTGTAAGTTCAACTTTCATGATTGAGATTGCACTACAGTACTTGTACAGTAACTCACTTAACATTGTAGTTATGTTCTTGAAAAATGTTACATTAAGTGAATCCAATTTCCCCATAAGAATTAATGTAAATGGGGGAGGGGTTAGGTTCCAGGGAAATTTTTTTTTTGCCAGACAGACATAACCCCTCCCCCATTTATATTAATTCTTATGGGGAAATTGGATTCACTTAATGTAACATTTTATATACACATATATATGTAACGTGTGTGTGTGTGTGTGTATATATATATGAGAGATATATTATGTGTGTGCGTGTGTGTGTGTATATATATATATATATATATGTACACTTATACATACAGTATAAGTTTTAAACAATTTTAATACTGTACAGAGCAATGGTGATTTTGATGGTGAAGTCAGAGGGTGGGATATTTCCCAGGGACTGCCTTAGTGCTAAATGATGAACTAGCACTCGGCTGAGCCCTCAAGGGTTAACATGTTGTTAATGTAGCCTCACACTCTGAGGTAGCATGAATGGAGGTAAGGGAGTCAGCATGGTAGAGAGAGAGAGAGAGATGCACATTGCCCTCTTAAGTACACTGACCCCACACTAAGTACATTGCCTTTTTAAGTAGATCAGTAAGTTGAGACAGCAGCTGCTGCCTTGTCATGCCCCCCATTGGTCTGTGGAGATGGGGTAAAGGAGCAGGGGGGAGGAGGGGGACACCCTGACACTAGCACTCCTCTTCCTCCCCCCCACCCCTCCACTGCATAGCAAGCAGGAGGCTCCCAGGACCGGCTCCAAGGCAGAGGGCAGGAGCAGCACACAGCAGTGGGGTCAGGGACAGCTGAACTGCTGGCAACTGATAGCCTGCTGCGTGGCTGTGGCACAGGGAACTTGGGGGGGCTGCCGGCCCACCCTGGTTCCAAGCCCCCATCACTAGCTCCAAGGGGCTGCTCTTTCTGCAAGCAGTGGACAAAGCAGGCGGCTGCCAAACAATGTTATAAGGAAGCATTGCGCAACTTTAAATGAGCATGTTCTCTGGTAAATCAGCAACATAACGTTAACCCGGACAACTGTAAGTGAGGAATTACTGTATTAGGTGAACTGAAATATACTATTTCTTTGTTTTTTTACAGTGCAAATATTTGTAATAAAAATAAATATAAAGAGCACTATACAGTTTGTGTTCTGTGTTGTAATTGAAATCAATATAATTGAAAATGTAGAAAACATAAAAAATAGTGAAATAAATGGTATTCTATTATTAACAGTGCAAAATTAATCATGATTACCTTTTTAATCACTTGACAGCCTTAGTAAATATTATTACACTTGGTTATTTTTCATCATCTTAATTATTCCTGATGGACAGAGCGGACAGAAGGACAGACACTTTAATACATCCAGATCCAGCTTGTCATGAGAACTTTAAACTGCTCTTGAATGGCCGTGGACGTGAAGCATTTTTTGAAGATTTAACTAAATTGATGACTTGATTCCAGTACAATATCATTAACCTCAGTGTAGTGACAGAATCAGTCAGCCACCAGGGGGAGCCAATGGACAAGTTAGACACAAGAATGAGGGGGGAAAAAAGTAATACCAAGACTTTTTTCATTCTGGTCTCTCTACACTTGCCCTTTGGCTCCCACTGGTGGCTGATTGTTTCTATCACTGCACTGAGGTTAATGATATTGTACTGGAATCAAGTCATCAGTTTAGTTAAATCATCAAATCTCCTCTATTACTAACACCAAGAAAAGCTGTAACTTTCAGTTTTCCAATCTAATTTAGATTATCATATAATTAATCTTTACTCTTAACCAATAAACTTCATATTTAATTTCATTTCCATTGGTAATAACAGGGTCAAAGATTGCACAATCTTATCATACACGTTAGGTTTCTTTTAATCCCTACTTCCACCGAGTGAACCCTTGTGTAAAGCTGTAGCTTACCCCAAAACGGGCCTGTTACTTCTGTGAGTTTGTTTGTTGCTGGGCCTTCTCTCACGAGTGTTTGTGGAAAGGGGTCTCACACTATGTGGGAAAGTTTGTATCATGAGAACAAGCACCTCTAGTCTCTTTTCCCACATTTTAATCTTTCAGAGTAGCAGGAGGTGGATGAGAAGGGATGCAAATGCATAAGACACAAGAGCAAACAAAAGCATAGACTCAGGATTCAGGCCAGATCTAGAGGCTGAAACATCGATTCCTTCATTGGTTATCAGCACTTGAATATCATGAAAGTCTTCAATGTACAACAAAGCAGCAAGATTGGCATCCATGGGAAGGAATGTCCTCTGAAGGCACCAACTGCTTCTTTCTTTGCCTCTTGAAACTTTGGATCCAGGTGGTAAAGGACAATTGTTCTCAATCGAGCTATGGTATCCCTTGAGACTGTAGTCAATGCCGCTGCACTAGTGAAGGATGTTTTTAAAACCGTTTTACCTGAACCATAGTCCACCATAGCTTTCTTCTCTGGTGTGAATGCCAACAACTAGTTGCCTGCTATTTTGACCTGAGTTCTTGCCAAGTCCTTGGCCTTGGTCAGGGTAAATTTACACATCTCTGGAGCAGAATCCTTTACCAAACCACCCAAAAATCTCAGCAGTGTTAGTACCAAGTGGCCAAGTTTGTTTCTTTAATCTGTTGGCACAGATTGACATTAGGAACTAGATACAGGCCTGGATCAGAATCTCTAATCTACCAAAGGTGGGAAGGGGGTTTCTATTTGAAAACAATTATTTTTCTGCAGCTATGTCACATTCAACACTCAGTTAATTTGATTCACATTTGCACTACGAAGGGTGAGTTCAACAAGAACACCTCTTCTGTTTCCTCCACATCTACGTAGTTAGGGACAATGTGTCCTAAATCATAGGATTAGTTAAGAGATCTTGTAGGTACTAGGTCTCAACTGTTTGGGAACCAAATACATGGGTATTTTGCTTCCTCCTAAATCATTTACTGTGGAATTCTCTCCAGGGATTATCTGAGACAATATTGACCTAAGCAATTGAACAACACATACGCAGTTAGCTGCACAATTTGGGGTGTGCTACTGTCCAGCATTTCATACTGGAGCGTTATACTACTACTTTGGTTTCCTTGCTATCATGTCCAATAACTTGAAGTAGTCCCTCCTGTTTACTGAACTGCACTTGAACTTTCTCTATGTCATCATGGAGGGATGGGGAAAAAGCTAAAATAAAGTGAGAAATGAGTATTTTAGCAGCTGGTTATTTGTCTCAAAGTTCCCAATAAATCTGAGCTACATTCTGTCAAACACAACTAATATCCAGTTATGTGACCAAACGGCCTTCAGGAAAGAGGAAAAACTCATATCACGTAAGAGGTAAAAGACACTTTCAGTTTCAGATAAAGTGAAATTCCAGAGAAGATTGCATTTGATAATTCAGAATCAGAATAATAGATTCTCCGATCACATTCCCCCTCTGATCTATTCAACCCTGCATCATTCGGTGCTGTCTTATTATTACAGAATTGTCATAGGACAAAGCAGCTGACAGAAAGGACCACAGGATTCCCCCCAAAGAAGGTGAGCTGCAAAAGTGGGCCTTTCACCTGGGAGGACCTGAGAGACCACGACGACAAACGGTGCAAATAGGCTTAAAGGTCACTATGTAGGAATCAGCAAAAATATTAAAACACTAGACAAAGTTTTTATGGTTTTTATCTCCCTTGTGGATTCTCTGATGATAAATAAGAGCTGAGCTCTGATGGAAGCTTTTCCCACAGTCGGAGCATCTATAGGGTCTTTCTCCTGTATGGATCCTCTGATGTGTAATAAGATGTGAGATCCGAGTGAAGTTCTTCCTGCATTCACAGCATTCATAGGGTCTCTCTCCTGTGTGGATCTGCTGATGTCTAATAAGGTGTGCGTGTCGAGTGAAGGTTTTCCTGCACTGACAGCACTCATAGGGCCTGTCTTCTGTGTGGATTCTCTGATGTGTAATAAGGTGTGAGCTCTGACTGAAGGTTTTCCCGCACTCACAGCATCCATAGGGCCTCTCTCCTGTATGGATTCGCCTATGTGTAATAAGGCCTGATCGGTAACTGAAGGTTTTCCTGCACTCACAGCACTCATAGGGCCTCTCTCCTGTGTGGATCCTCTGATGTCTAATAAGGTGTGAGATCATACTGAAGTTTTTTGCACACTCACAGCATTCATAGGGCCTGTCGTCTGTGTGGATTCTCTGATGCGTAATAAGATGTGACCGCTGACTGAAGGTTTTGCCGCACTCACCGCATCCATAAGGTCTCTCTCCTGTGTGGATTCTCTGATGTGTAATAAGGGTTGAGCTCCGACTGAAGTTTTTCCCACACTCACAGCAGTTATAGGGTCGCTCTCCTGTGTGGATCCGCTGATGTGTAATAAGGCTTGAACGGCTACTGAAGGTTTTCCCACACTCCGTGCACGTATTGTTTCTCTCGCCTGTGGGGATTCTCTGCTGGGCTGTGGTTTCCTTGAGGTCCTCATGAGTTTCCTGACAATTAATGGATTTACCCACTTTTTGCCCTGGTTGGTTTCCCTGCTGACTCTCTGGCCTGTGCTGACTCTCACAGGCTTTTCCCTGTTCAGAACTCCTGGTCACAGTCCCTTTGGATCTTTGCAATAACGCCCCAGATAGTTCCACTTGCTCCTCATTCTCCCTCACCATCCCATCACCTGCTGGAACAGAGAGAGAAACCTCAGAAACAGGAGTGCAAAAGGGGAGAGCAAACCAAAATACAACCTGGGGAGACTGAAAAATATAAAAACCAGGAACTGAATTCACCCACACGCTTTTCCATAGGAGAGAGGAGTGGATCAATTCTCCCTCCACATCCAAACCAAACATTCAGGGGGGAGGGAGGTCAGGGAGGAAGCTACTGCCCGGGGAGCATGAGCAATATCTGCCCTGAGGATATGACATCTGGGGACAATCCTAAATTCAGAGCGCTCATAAGGTCTTTGTAGGAAATCCCATCTGTTTCCTTCAGCCACAGAGTTTCTGAGTTGGTTTAGTGATTCCTCACCTGTGTTGGCGCATCTCAGGAGCTCTTTTTCCGCTGAGCCCTGAAGATCTGGGACCCATGGCTCTTTCCCTAGTTCCAGCTGGCAGATCACATCAGGTTTGGAAATGGGAAACCCTGCTCAGGGGAAAGAAAACAAGGGAGGGCAGGTGAATTCATTGGACATTTGTCACAGTGAATGTTCCATTATTTTAACTCCAGCCCATTTTAAAGCAGTAAAATCCTGGGGCCCACTCCCCAGATGCTCAAAGGTGCAGAACACTCGGCCTATGAGGGTTTAACTATCCCCATCTTTGCTGGGAACACACACAGCCAGATGCTTCTCATCAAAGGGTCTCCTGAAACCCAGAGAGAGTAACACCCTGGCCTGAAAGTGAAGACAGTTTCAGCCACAAGGGAAGTCGCTCTGGAACTGCTTCTCCCTGAGAGCGAGAGGCCCAGAAACAATGGGAGACTCTCGGGGAAGCTGGGACCAGCAAGCCTGGGCTGGTGGAATTCAGCATGGAAAGGAAAGGAATCGGAAGGTCACTGAATCCAGTATCTCAGGGATACTAAATGGCAAGAAAGCAGGTTTTGAGGAATTAGGGAATCTAGTGAGTTAGGTGTAATTGGAGGGAGTATGAAAATCCCCCAGTGTGAGGAGATGGCTGGGGAATTAGATGCTGCAATTCAGGAGCAAGAGACTAATTCCTCTGGAAAAGGAAAATATGAAAAATAAGACTCAGACCACATGGACTCAGGAGGGATCATCTCAAAGATCCAAAAAGCCATCAGGGAAGAGAGATTGTGTCTGCTGTCCCCCCAGAAAGGGGACTACCAACCTATGACGTCATCAAGGAAGCACACATTTGTGCCAGGGAAGGGGCTGTCCTGTGGCTGGGAGGAACAGAAGGACTCAGCAATGGTGGCTGGACTCACAGTTGGGAAGGGGTAAGCACTGACCAGTGGAGAGAGAGAGGAGTGAACATAATTTTTGAAACAAGGAATGTCAAACAAAGTGAACCCAGACTGTAAAAAGAATGGAGTGCAGGCTCTAAATGAACAGGGCCGGGGCAGGGATTCATAGAACCACAGGGTTAGAAGGGAGCACAGGGGTCATCTGGTCTAACCCCCCTGCCAAGATGCAGGATTTGTTGTGTCTAATCCATCCAAGACAGATGGCTCCAGCCTCCTTCTGAAAACCTCCAGGGAAGGAGGTTCCACAACCTCGCTAGGCGTCTGCTCCATTGTCCTCCTGTTCTTACAGAGAGGAAGTTTTTCCTGAGATTTAATCTAAATCTGCTATGCTGGAGTTTGAACCCATTGCCTCTTGTCCTGCCTTCTGTGGCAAGAGAAAACAACTTTTCTCCATCTTTTTAGGGCAGCCTTTCAAGAATTTGAAGACCGCTATCATGACCCCCCCCTAAATCTCCTCTTTTCCAAACTAAATATACCCAGTTCCTTCAGCCTTTGCTCATATGGCTGCATTCCATCCCTCTGATCATCTTTGTCACTCACCTTTGGATTCTTTCCAGTTTCTCCACATCCTTTCTATACATTGGTAACCAAAATTGGACACCGTACTCCAGCTGAAGTCTAACCAGCACTGAGTAGAGCGGTACTATTGTGATAGGTCCCCCCATGCGGTGCCATCTGAAACTGGGGTACTACTGAGCCCCCCTGATCCACCAGTCTGTGCTCTCTCACACTGTACTGCTGTGACAAGCTGCCAAGCCCCCAGGCTCCAGCCTGCACTTCCACCAGCATACGTACAGGTAGGGACACACCCAGCAGCAGTTACATGCAGGCAGACGCACTGACCAGCCCCTGCATGGGAAGGCTCCAGCTAAGGCAACTACCAGCTCCTCAGGCACCACCCCCTCTGGAGTGTAAACCGAAAATTATACCGTCTTGCGCTGCACAGGGAACTGAACAGTGTAAGCTCATGAAATGCGTCCCCTCCCTCAACGTGGAGAGGAACATGCAACAGTCTTTTGCCTCGAGTTATGATTTTTATACACTAGTTTAGATAAAGCAAAAACAAGTTTATTAGCTACAAAAGATAGATTTTAAGTGATTATAAGGGATAGCAAACAGATCAAAGCAGATTACCTAGCAAATAAACAAAAAATGCAAACTAAGCTTAATAAACTAAATAGATTGGATTTGAATTAGCAGATTCTCACCCTAGGTGATGATATAAGCAGGCTGAAGATCCTTAAGGGGCAAGCTGCACTTGCTTACAGCTTGGAAACCCCAGGTGTTCCATTCACAGGCTAAAAATCCCTTTAGCCTGGGTCCAGCACTTCCCCCAGATCAGTCTTTGTTCCTCGGAAAATAGAAGGGAGCATAAACTCTGGCAAATCAAGTGTAAAAGTCTAATTAGGCAGGCCAAAAAAGAATTTGAAGAGCAAATAGCAAGACACAAAAACTAACAGCTAAAAATTTGTGAAGTTCATCATAAGCAGGAAGCCTGTCAAACAATGAGTGGCCCCACTGGCCGATGGAGATGCTAAAGAGGCATTCGAGGAAGACAAGGCCATTACAGAAAAGCTAAATGAATTCTTTTCAGCAGTCTTCACTGCAGAGGATGTGAGGGAGATTCCCATACCTGAGCCATTCTTTTTAGGTAGCAAATCAGAGAAACTGTCCCAGATTGAGGTGTCAATAAGAGGAGGTTTGGGAACAAATTGGGAAATTAAACACTAATAAGTCACCAGGACCAGATAGTATTCACACAAGAATTCTGAAGGAACTCAACTATGAAACTGCAGAACTACTAACTGTGGTATGTAACCTATCGCTTAAATCAGCTTCTGTACCAGATGACTGGCGGATAGCTAACGTAAAGTCAATTTTTAAAAAAGGCTCCGGAGATGAGCCAGGCAATTACCGGTGGGTAAGCCTACCTGCAGTCCCAGGCAAATCGGTTGAAATTACAGCGAAGAACAGAATTATCAGACACATAAATAAACACAATATGTTGGGGAAGAGTCAACACAGCTTTCTGAAAGGGAAATCATGCCTCACCAATCTACTAGAATTCTTTGAGGGGGTCAACAGGATGTGGATAAGGGTGATCCAGTGGATATAGTATATCAGGACTTTCAGAAAGCTTTTGACAAGTTCCCTCACTAAAGGCTCTTAAGCAAAGAAAGCACTCGTGGATAAGAGGGAAGGTCCTCATATGGATCAGTAATTGGTTAAAAGGCAGGAAACAAAGGGTTGGAATAAACAGTCAGTTTTCAGAATGGAATGTGGTAAATAGCGGGGTCCCCCAAGGATCCGTAATGGAACCAGTGTTGTTCAACATATTCATAAATAATCTGGAAAAGGGGGTACACAATGATGTTTTCAAAGTTTGAAGACAACACAAAACTACTCAAGATAGTTAAATCCAAAGCTGACTGCGAAGAGTTACAAAGGGATCTCACAAAATTGGGTGACTGGATGACAAAATGGCAGATGAAATACAATGTTGATAAGTGCAAAGTAATGCACATTGGAAAACATAATCCCAGCTATAGATACACACAATACGATGGGGTCTAAATGAGCTGTTCCCACTCAAGAAAGAAATCTTGGAGTCATTGTGGACAGTTCTCTGAAAACATCTGCTCAATGTGCAGAAGCAGCCAAAAAAGCGAACAGACTGTTCAGAACTATTAGCAAAGGGATCAATAATAGGACAGAAAATATCATAATGTCACTATAAAAATCAATGCTACGCCCACACCTCGAGTACTGCGTGCAATTCTGGTGACCCCCATCTCAAAAACCACATATCAGAATTGGAAAAGGTGCAGAGAAGGGCAACTAAATGATTAGGTGTAGGGAACAACTTCCATGTAAGGAGAAATTAAAAAGAGTGGGACTGTTCCGCTTAGAAAAGAGACAACTAAGGGGAGGGGAGGAGAAATACAATAGAGGACTATAAAATCATAAATGGTGTGCCGAAAGTGAATAAGGAAGTATTATTTACCCCTTCACATAACACAAGGACAAGGGGTCACTGTGCCACTCTGCACCCTGGAACCCCCATATTCACCACTGTTACCCCATATTTACCATGGTGATATGATTATGATATGTTTTGTACAAAGTATGCCGTGTGCGGTATCATTTTAAAAATCTTGATCTGGTGAACATTAATATACTGTTGGATTGTATGCACTAGCACTGTATGGGAAGTTGTGAAGTTTTGCTATGTGTGTTACTGAAATATGTTGTGAGGTTGGAAACACCCACAACCAGCCTTTGAGGTATAACACTGGAGCAGCCAGACGCGCTGATGGCCCATTTAAGGGAATCCACACTCCCAGCAACCATCCCAGAAGACTTCTCAGAGAGAACACAGATGATGAAGGCTGCTTGACCAATAGGGGCAGACCCCCACATCACAAGCATAGATCTTTCCAGCAAGCTGGAAGAAACTATAAAAGAGGAGAAATGACTTGGCCTTTCTCCTCTCACACCTAAGCTGGAAGCAACAAGAACACTGGGAAGATAAAGACTTGAACTGAGGAGACTGGTCCCCGGCTTAAAGGGGGAAACCTGTTTTAAGAATTGTAACCTCTAGAGGCGTGAGAAAACTGCTTGATCCAAATACTGCCTAGTGTAATAAGGTTTAAGATTTAGACTGTGCACTTATCTTTTATTTTCTTTGGTAGCTATCTCTGAGCTTTTGTGCCTACCATTTACAATTACTTAACGTCTATCTTTCTGTAGTTAATAAATCTGTGTTATATTTCACCTAAAACAGTGTATTTTGTTTGAAGTGCTTGGGAAATCTCAGCTGAGGTTACAAAGGCTTGTGTGGGTCCTCTCCACATCGAGGGAGGGGCCGACTGGGTAATAAACTTATGCTGGTCAGGCTTCTGACCACAGCAAGACGGCACAGTTTCGGGGTGCAAGGCTGGGGACTTGGGAGATTTTCTGGTGCCTTTCTCTATGTAATTCGTGAGTGGCTCGCTCAGGGAACATTCACACAAGTTAGCTGAGTGTGGGACTCCACATGCTGTTGTGCTGAGTGATAACAGCACCTGGAGGGGGTTGCTGCTTATCACTAGCCAAGTCTTGTGAGAGACAGTCCAGGCTGGAGAGTTAAGAGGGCACAGCAGTACCCAAGTTCTAGGTTGTACCTTGGGGATCCTGTCATAGTCACCCGATGAAATTAACAGGCAGCAGGTTTAAAACAAACAAAAGGAAGTATTTCATCACACAACACACAGTTGGCCTGTGGAACTCATTGCCATGGGATTGTGTGAAGACCAAAAGTATAACTGGGTTCAAAAAAGAATTAGGTAAGTTCATGGAGAATAGGTTTTTTTGCACTGTTCTGTTCATTCCCTCTGAAGCATTTGACTCAGGCCACTGTCGGAAGACAGGATACTGGGCTAGATGGACCTTTGGTCTGGGCCAGTATTGACGTTCTTATGCTTTTAATGGATATGAGCTGGGCAAGCCTCCATTTGTGAAAGCCAGAGAAAAGGATGTTACAGTAACTGAGATAGGAATGATGAGAGTCTGGACAAGAGTTTTAGCTACACGGATGGATAGGAAGGACCCTATCTTAGGAATGTTATGCAGAAAGAAAATGCAAGATGGAGTCATAGGCTGGACATGAGGACCTAGAGAGCGGTCTGTGTGGAAGATCATGCCCAGTTTACAGGCCTTAGTGACAGGTGGTTTGGTGGTGCTGACACAGTGATAGAGAAAGGAGGTGGGGAATGGCTTGGTGGTTTATTAAGAGTCTCGTTAGCCATTTTTAGCTCTAATTGCAAGCCAAAAGCTAGATATCTGCAAGGGATGTCAGAGCCACAGTCTAAGATTTTGTTTGGACAGAGGGAGACAGGTGTGGAGCAGAGGTAGATCTCTGACTTGTCAGCATACAGATGTAGCTGAATTTGTGTTTGTGGATGAGATCGCCCGGAGACAGGGTATAGAGGAAGGAGAGAAGGGGAAGAAGGCCAGAGCCCTGTGGAACCCTCACAGGAAGTGGGGGGTGGGGAGGATCCTCCTAAGGACACGCTGAAGGAGTGACTTTGACAAAAATAGTCACAGTGGAGTGGCCCAAATTTCTGCCTCCCTGAAACCTTCCCTTCCCACTCCCTACAGCAAGCACTCCCCAAGCCCTCCCTCCTCCTTCCCATCACCCCCAGTGTTCCCCACTCCCAGCTAACCCAGATCTCTTACCCAGTTCCTCCCCCACCAACACCACCTACATAGGGACCTCCACTCCCTTTCCCCCCAATCTCCCACTTCCCCAGCCCTCCCCATGACCAGTTCCCAGAAGCTCTTGTCTCTGACTCCCTCCCTCCTCTTCCTTCCACTGTACCCGACCCTTCCTGATTCTAATCCTCCCCTCAGCCCTCCCCTTCCTCCCACGACTGTCAGCCCTCTGCTTCGTAGTGCCCCAGGAGCACCGAGCTCTTATAACATTTCTTGGCACACACCTGGAGCTCAAACTACGGTTCTAATTGTTCATCAAATGATCTGGCATTTGTCTCAAGCATGTACATGGCACCCACTTCCGCTCTGGGGAAGGACAACTGGAAAAGTGAACTGCAGAGTTTGGAATTTCAGAGTGACGAGCCAAAAAGAGACTGAAATGCACATATGCAGCAAGACTCAGGCTCTGGATAACAGCTGGAGGGTTTCCAACAACCTGCTGTCCAGAGTAACTGGCTGGCTTGAAGGGACACGCCGTGGCCATTGAATCGGAGCTACATCCACGCATTTGAGTTTGAACCCTACTACTGAGAGCTTCCAGATGACGTGTGTTGTGCATTTTTATGGCATTTTGCAGGGGTTCCTCTTGGAAGTTTTGTCCTGATACCAACATTTCTGGGTTAAGAGCAATATTTTAAAGTGCCCTAAAATCTACTTGCAGATTCTGGCCTGGCCTGCACTTCGTTTTGCCAACATAGCTCTGTCATTTAGGGGTGTGAAAAATCACATCCCTATCCAACATATGTACGCTGGCAAAAGCTCTAGTGTAGACACAAAAAAGTGGCAAAAAAGTCTATTAAAAAAAAATCAAGGAAACAAGATGCCCATTAGCTAGATAAACGCAGAGTTAAGGTTGCCCAGTGCTACCTCATGCCCTTCCAGCACGTGCAGGGTGGCTAAACTTAAACTTCTGAAAAACCGGAAAGGAAGAGGTAAAGTATGTGCCACCCCCTGCAATACAACCTTAACTCTGCCCTCATCCTCTACCTCTGGAGCTGCCAGTAGCCACAGGAAATGGTTTGGAAACTACCAAGGGAAGTGGAGGATTCTCCATCTCTTGAAGTCTTCAAATCAAGACAGGATGCCTTTTTGGAAGATGATTTAGCCAAATACAATATATTCAGCTCAATACAGCAAGAAATAGCCGAGGGATTACGTGGAGCAGTTTGGCAGAGCTGGGGCTGAATTTAGGTGAACCATGAGGGACCCAGGTGAGAGACCAAGTGTGACTCATTTCAGTGCGCAGTGTTATAGGTGGTTTCGATAAAGGTGCGTAAGGATGTGTTCTTGCCACGGGGATCGTCAGCAAGTTAGTGCCGTACATGCTAGTGGTATCCAGGGCTTAGGAAGGGGTAAGCGAAGGCAATGACTCAGAAGGAATTCTCAGGGCAATGGTAAAGGAGTGGTAACAGTTTGCAAGTTTGAGATAGTCTGCAGGGAGTGGGCTCTCATTTGACTGCAGGCAACAGCTGGACCTAAACCCAAGTTTTGTCTTGGCAAAGAGGAGATGTTCAATGTTGTACTGTACTGCACCTCTACTCTGTTCCCAACAGGTTCTGTCACAGGGAGGGCAGAGCACGTGTGTCACTGGCATGTTGGGGTGTTGCCGTAACAGGGCAGAGTTGAGGTTACATTGTGTGGGTGATGTGAACCTTAACTCGTTACTTCCCCTTCTAATAGCCGAGGGGACAGGAATCCTTACCCAGCGAGGCCACATTCTCATAGTTCTCCTGCATGACGTCTCTGTAGAGGGCTCTCTGAGCGGGGTCCAGCAGAGCCCACTCATCCTCGGTGAAATACACAGCCACCTCCTCGAAGGTCACCAGCCCCTGAAAGAGCAAGAGTCTCCTAGTTAGTACCAGCGGCCCCTCTGACAACCCCACTATTCACGGGGGGCAGGGCCAATCAAATGGACGCTCTGGGAGGCAGACAGTCAGCAGAGTCCCTTCCCACCCCACTCAGAGCAGCCAGGAGGCATCAGGGTGAGGGAGAAAGAGGAGCCCCTCGGCACTCCCAGCAGAGAGAGGGGGAAGGCAGTCTGCTGTTCATCACACATCTACAGGCTGATACAGGAGATGGAGCCCCCTGGTAGGAATCCTAAACACCCTTCCCATTGCCAGCAGCTGGGTGTGAGAGGACGGGGCAAGTCCCATAAGCCTCACTGGTGGCTGCCCCTTTCATATTTCACAGCAGCATCTGGCTAGTGGGTTCAGGCTCCAGCACTTGGAGTCTGGTCAGTTTTCCCAGCCCGGCCCAGGAGGGTTGTTTCCTATTTCACAAATTAGGGAATTTCCACCCCCCAAACCTCAGGGGTCTGTTCCTACAATCCAGGCCCCCGGTTAAACACGGCCCAGCAGGCTTGTCACCCCTTGTCTCCCTCCCTTTCTCTACCCCGTGTATTTCCTGCCCCCTCCCACCTCCACACCAAACTCACTGTCCCTCTTTGTCCAGCAACTCCTGGATAATCCCTACCTGAACTGGCTCCACTGAAACCATTTCCCTTCCCTGTCCCATGTGGGTAGGATGAGCTGGAGCGAAACACAGGCGTTATTCTGCAGCCTGGCAGGATGAGAAAGGCAATGGTGGCGATTTCAGAACAGGCTTCAGTATATTTCGCATCACGCTTCCCCACACGTTCGAGACATGGCCGTGCTAAGATGACGCTTGGTCACCTTTCTTAGTTATTTTTTCAGTGCAGACCCAGCCCCTCCCACAAGGACTAAAACCACCGAGACATTTTTAAACCTTCCCTCTAACAGTCTACAAACCAAATGCTAGAAAAGAGCAGAACCAAAGGTGTCTCTTTGGGGGATTCCCCCGACATGGTCCCTGAGGGCAGCACTCGCCCCCAGCAAGGCAAATAGGGAGAGCCAGAAACGAGCTTTTCCTCTCTCTGCTCCTCACCTTGCTAACAGGAAAGCGAATCTGCCCAGCGATGCTGCAATAAGTGTCTCCATAGGCTAGAGATCTGGGGACCTCCATTCCCACCTATTTCTTCCACTGCCCCCTTCAGTCTCTCTCTCCTCTATCCCTTTATATCTCCTTTCCCCTCTGGCTCGGGGAATTCACTCTCCCATCAGCTCCTGCAGCAGCAGGATCAACTCCTGCAATTGCTAATGGGAGAAGAGACAACTGATGAAGAATCATAGGACTGGAAGGGACCCGGAGAGGTCGTCTAGTCCAGTCCTCTGCACTTGTGGCAGGACTAAGTATGATCCTAAGAGGGGCTGTTCGTACAGAGTCACTTTCATGCTTGTCCCCAGCAACTTTCTCCGAGGTCTCTCTTACCTAGAGTCCCTCTGGGCCCAGCCCAGGTGAGGACCTTCTCCGTCTGGTGCTAATCCCCAGGGCAGCCCTAGGCTCAGGAGTTGATGTAGACGGAGGGCTAGTACCACATGGAGCAAGTCGTCACCTTGGAGGGGCACAGAGGAAGCTTTCATTAAGGTCCCTCCCCAGCACAGAGGGGAGCAACAGCTGCTCAGCCTGGGCTCCCAGATCACAATGGAGGCAGCAGCTTCTGACCCAGGAAGCTCAACCCCAATATCCTGAGCAGAGAGAGGGAGGGAGCAGCCCCCTACCCCCTCCTTCAGCAAGGACTAGAGCTCCCTGGTCACAGCTACCAATGAAACCACTCCCCCACCGGGACAGTGCGGATCTCATTTGCCCCCATGTGCTAATCTGGAGTCACTCCTTGTTCTTCCTTGCAGTGACCCTGGATTAACACTGGTCTCAGTAAGGCCAGAAACATGGCTCAGGAGAGATGAGGCCAGAATCCTTTTAAACAGATCGTCCCACCTCCCTCACTCCCCACATCTGGGATAAGGATTTAGGACAACAGTTTTCCCCAAGTTCCTCCAGTTCTGAAGGGGACAGAGAAGCAAAATCTGTAGTGACTGTGACAGATGTGCCAATTTCCTGCAATACGGACTGACCCCTGCTAGGACGTCCTTCCCTGGATCCCACCTCCAGCCCTGCCTGCCATGGTGGGGGGCTGAGAGCTCCTCCGGCCCCGGGGCTGAGGCAGGGGAATCACAGCTCTGTCCCAGCTGCGGCCGGAGGAGCACCCTGTGCTGGCAGCGGCCTGGGGCTGCAGGAGCGATCTTGTCCGCCAGCCACGGCCCCGGGGCCGGAGGATCTGACTCTCCCCAATCTCTCACTATAACGAACCCCTGGCTACACCGAACAAGCGGCTTGAATCCCCAGGGGTTCGTTCTAGCGAGGGTGCACTGTATCCTCACAAAAGCTTACAGAATGAAGTGCAAGTATCTTTGGAGTCCATTCCATTAGATACACAGGCTCCGTATTATTGTGGGCCTGGGTGACCAAAGGCCTATATTGAACAATGTGGCAGATAAGAATGGGCTTTGGGGACAATAGGTATGAAGTGAATTTTCTGGGGAATATTTAGGGGGAAGTGAATGCAAGTTCTTCCCCCCAACCCCCGTTATGCAAAAATTCCAGGCTTTGAAACCACCCCCTGAAGAGTGGGCCTTTGTCTGGTGATTACCTGTTACACGGGGCCAAGATCAAGGCCCAAGCTGTATAAAGGAGACTGAACTATTCATGGTTGTCTGGATCTTGAGCTAAGACTATTATAAACGTGTAACCACAGGAAAACCCCTTGGTGAGCTTTGAAGGACTGACTCCTCCCAGAGCCCGTGGTGGATTTTAAGCTTATTAGCATGAATGGAGGTTCTTTTATTGCTTATGTTTTTTCTGTAATACTTTCACCTGAAGAATAAATGGGCTTGCTTATAAATAGGTTTGGCGTGATTAGATTTTTATTGCTAAATGTTGACTTCACTGTACACATACAAACGGATGAAAAGATATTTCCATTGATTAGAATCCAAATTTACATGTAGGCAAAGTAAGAAAAATGCTGCTTGAGATATGCTCAGGTTTGATTTAAGGATATTACTTAGTAAATTGTAACATGTGATGCTGACAATTCATGATTTAACCGTTCTAAAGCTTTATCTTTCCAATCTCCACTGGCATCAAACAATTATGGATTCACCCACCACCACGAATTCCCACAACTGTGAAAAATGTAAATCTATAAAAATCTAAAAACAGCGCTTAAAGTAAACATCAGTGTTACTTTTTGATCATTTTGATGGGTAACGATTGAATTCTGCCAAGCCTACTTAGAAAGGGTTGGGTGGGCAATTACACGGTTTATATCCTCTGGAGAGAAACCAAACAGCAGGCAGTGGCCTGGCTTGCTGGGAATACCACAGTGTAGGCAGGAAACAGCAGCCTGGAAAAACCCCAATCAGGAGGGAGAGAGACATGGGTCTCTGCCCAAGAGGGAGCTGGAAATCTAAAAATGGATGCCCAGGATGGATCACGGAGGTGGGATACAGATGCAATTGCCCTGAATTCAGTGATTTCATAGCAGTATTTGATAAATGGATTGAAAGTTACCACCACCACCTGCTGGCTATTCACACAGGCAGCAGGGAGCCCTGGGGGATGCTTTTTTAAATAGGAAAATGGAAGAGCCAAAATATTTAAGAAAATTTCCGTTCCCTTCTCAATAATAACCACCGACCCACCCGAGAGGTGGCTACATCTCAGCTGTGGGGGAAGCAACCCCCATGGAGACCATCCGTCATGAGGTTTGGAATACTTCTGGCCATGTCACAGAGTCAGAGTGTTTAAGGCCAGAATGGATCATCAAATCATCTAGTCTGTCACCTCCTGTATATCACAGGCCACCAGCACCCACCTACTAAACCCAACAACCGAAGTTAGACTAAAGTATCACAGCCAACAGGAGATGAGACTATTTATCTGCCAGAGAGAGAGAACAGGAGGGATCAAGGTTCACCAGATCCCAAGTCCCCTGCAACGGCAAGGAAATGATTAAATGAGATACACCTGGAGAATCCTGACAAGTGACCAGCGTCCCTCTCATTTTTCCCACTCATGCGTGGAATAAATTTTGTTATGTGACACATCACCTTCATACCACATACCAAAAATTCCTGTGGTGGGGGTGGGGCTGAGGGGTTTGGAGTGTGGGAGGGGGCTCAGGGCTGGGGCAGCGGGTTGGGGTGCAGGGGTGTGAGGGCTCCGGCTGGGGGTGCAGGCTCTGGGGTGGGGTCGGGGATGAGGGGCTCAGAGCTGGGGCGGAGGGTTGGGG